TTTTTTTTTTTTTTTTTTTTTTTTTTTATTTAACCTGATGGGAACTGTCAGTGCAAAGAAGAATGCTGTCTGCAAATATTTTTTTGTTCTGCAGACTGTAATAAATCAAAATAAACCTTTCTTTTTCCTTTCAACGGACACATAAAAATGTCTTAAGTAGGTCTATAGCTTTGTACCCTAGTGAAGAGAGGCTTGACAAGTTAGCAGTATAAATTTTAAATTGATGGGCGAAGGTTTCGAATGAAAAATAGCTCTATCATTCAGCGTCGTTCTTCTTGCACCGAAAAGCTTGTTTGTTGGCTTTAGTTTTTCACTGTGCTCAAGAAACTTGAACCAGGTGATTGTACAGATGGCCTTAAAAATTAATTTTTATTTTCCTATGAAGAATATCTAGCCATGGCTGCATTTATATTGGTCAACTGATTTATTTATTTTCCTAATCGTACCTTTTTGCTTTAAGAAATTCATTGCTAATCATGAAGTTCAGTCTGATATTTACAAGTATATGGATCAGTTTTAGTATAGCTGAAGAGCAATGCTTTCAATGACCAACTGTTGTTAGCTTGCAGAAAATTTGTTTTTTAAGCTGTTTACTCATTGTTTTTCTGTAGGCAGCTAAACAGTGTTACAAAAAGCTCTATTCTTCTGTGAACTGGAAGTTTATTGTTGAGTTTGGTTTGTCAGCTTTTGTGAAACACTTTGTATCATATAATGACAGTCTAATTTTTTGTCTCCTCTTTTCATGCAATCTGTTTTTGTCATCAAATATCAGTGTTCTCACGATCCCATTACCTACTAAGAAATCAACAATTTTTCTATTCTGAAGTTAGCCACATTTTTGGCCGTGACTGATGTAACTTCAGTAAAAAAAAAAATTGTTGAAAAATTTTTTTTCTGATTTGACTGGAAGAAAAGTGTTAGAAATACTGAATAATTCTGCGAAATAGGAAATGCCTTTGCGGCAAAAGATAATTTCTAAATGATACAATGAAAAAGAACGGACTTAAAAGTTGCTGTTGGCAAAAAAAATAAATTTTGATTTGTTAAC